CGCAGCCCTGGGCTCTCCTCAGCCAGGGCCCTGGCCCAGGGCGGCCGCCCCAGGAGCCGTGCCCGAGCGCCAGCCCCAGCTGGGGCTGAGGTGATGTGCCAGGACAGGCTGAGCACAGGGGAATTTCCCTGTGGTGGTGCAGGGTCGCAGCCCCCAGTGCCAGAGTGGCACTGCGCAGCTGCGCCCTTAGTGGTTTGGGTGTCAGCAACGGGCACTGATGCCCACTGCACACACAGCTCCTGTTCTCCACAGCTGCTGGTTTAATCTCTCCCACTGTGGCACAGGCTGCAAGGCTGCCACAGCCACCCCGGCAGGGTTAGAAGCCAATGCTGTGCGGCATCCTCGGAACAGGTTTTCTTGGGAGAACAGCTCTGTTAAAGGCCTTGGCAGCAGTAGCTGGGCTCTGTGGCAGAGGGACAAGATGAAGAGCATCATTCCTTACAGGGCAAAAGATGGTGGCCCAGGTGGGTTTACCCACTGAACTGAATCTGGTCATGGAGTCCCTAGCTGGATCACACCAGCCCACATTCAAATCAGAATACCAGTCTGGATGAAGATGACCACACTGTGCTGCAGTTACACCTCTGTTACTAACGCACTTTTGTGTGGGTGAACATTTAATTTCCCGTGAGAAACATTCCTCACAGTTACTGTCAGGTTTTTGTTATACATCAAGCTTGTTATACCATTAGTGCAGATAGCATTTTAAACTGTCTACGCTACTATGCAAGCTATCATCTAAGACCAAATTGGGCTAATATTTACATTTTGTAATGCTGCTACCATCCAGTTTCCCCCAAGGTGTGCCTGCCTGATTTCCTGCGGGCTGCACTGGGGCTGGGAGTAAGGAGCATGCAGCTGTAAGCTCCCTTCAGGAAGGCAGGCTGCAGCAAGGCAGGGCTAATGAAGTGGGCCGCTGCCTTGTCCTACCTGATGGTGCCTGAGTTGGAAACCAAAGCCAAAGCTGGGCAGCTGGCTCCAGCAGCAGATCCCACTGCAGGACCATACAGAACTTTACAGAAGGGTCAGCATCGACCCTGGTTATGGTCAGACATTTTCCAGACTCACGTTGCTGAGGAGGAAACTTCCCACAGGAACTCTTATTTGCAAAGTAATCTGTTTGAAGAACACATTGAGAAAAAGTCATCGATAGTGAAAATCAGGGCACTGACATGACCTGAGTGGGGAAGTTGGGCCCCTTACACCACATCTGGCATGAGTAAAATGGGAAAAGCTTGGTTAAGAGCAAAGACAGACAATAGTTGTTGTTTTGTTTCCGTTTATTAACGTTGACAATTAAAACCTACATTTCTGTTCAGCAGGCTTTGGATACAGATTTTGAAGGAACTTGACAGCTCACAAATTATAATAAAAAAGCACGAAATGTCTGATTATTTTTCCAATTAGTTCAATCGGACTCTAAATACGCTATGTAGCTATTATCCACCACCCTGGTCTTCAGGGTTCTAAGTTTTGTTTCTCATTTGCTCCTGTCTTTGAGCAATTCAAGCTTATGCATGTGTCAAGGTTTAGACTGCTGTTGTAAGGCAACCGACAATGTCAGTACTACTCATCAAATTTGGTATCCTTCCAGGAGACAACAACAAAAAAACAACAACCATGAGCAGAATCTTAGATGTAAAGGCAAGAGAAAATTAGAAATGTAATAATTACAATGCAGTTCACAGTATAATATATTAGCAATACTTTCATAAACATATATTTTCAATATTTCACCATCAGTAATAAAATATATTTGTAATCTGTCATTATTATTAAGAAGTTAAAAAAAAAAGTATGGTTACTGAAAATTTACTTTTTTCCCTCCTTCTCTAGTAGCTGCACTGTCTCCCTTGAGATGTGGATATTCTACTGAAGTACAATTCTGAGATTTTGTAGTTATTTTTAACAGCAAACAGTATTAATTGGCACAGACTGTATTAGCTTTTGCACACAAGGCACAATAAATCCAAGTTCACATATTAGCTATTCATAAATAGAGTATTTCTCACTTACAGATATGTTGCAAAGCTACAGAACAGAAACAGCAGTTATGTTCTTCTTTTAAAATGCTCTTTTCCACAGTTTTGTTCTTGAGTTGATTACATAGCCCGGATTTCATTTTCAGATGACCTAACATTAATAGTCTACAAAGGAATTATCACATGGGGAAAAGAGGGTATGAGAGACTGAATGCTAAGAAGGCCTTCACCAGTTACGTATTCAAATCGTCCCAGAATTTCAGAAAAGCAGAACCATGAACTTCAGCTTTTTGTATTGGGCTGGCCACAGTGAAATGTAATTCCATGGGTCTTGTCACTGCTGTTTATTAGAAGATTTACTTATGCCACTTCTCTAAAAACAAAAATAAATTAACTTTTACTGCATTTATAATATGTTAAATCAAGGCTTATCCTAAATTCTTTGCCAAAAGGAGTTGTGGTATCTGGACAACAGCCTTTTCTAAAACTGATGCCCGTATGCTGAAAATATCATAGAATCGTAGAATCATTAAGGTTGGAAAAGACCTCAAGGATCATCAAGTCCAACCGTCAACCCACACCACCTAACTCACTAAACCATGTCCCTAAGCACCACATCTACACGTTTCTTGAACACCTCCAGGGATGGTGACTCCACCACTTCCCTGGGCAGCCTGTTCCAACGACTGATCACTCTTTCAGTGAAGAATTTTTTTCTAATATCTACCCTAAACCTCCCCTGGTGCAACTTGAGGCCTATCAGTTGTTACTTTAGAGAAGCGGCCAGCACCCACCTCACTACAACCTCCTTTCAGATAGTTGTAGAGAGTCATAAGGTCTCCTCTCAGCCTCCTCTCCTCTAGACTAAACAACCCCAGTTCCAATGTTTAATTGAATGTCAGTTTTGGCACCATTTTCCCACAAATGTCTAGATGGTCCAGCTCTAGTTCTGGGCTGTTGGGAACCTTTCACCTCTCCTGGGTTTTGATGTGCATCCTGCCTGTGTCCCTGTACTACAGCCGTGCATCATCCACCTCTGCTCTGGTTTCCATGGAGAGGATTTCCACCAAAATCCTTTTATGTTCAGTATAGTGTTGCCTTAACTTATGCATATCTTTTCCAATACTTATTAGTTAGATTTTAATTTCATTTAATCACATAAGCCCAAAGCAACTCCATTTCATTTCTGTGGAATTATCCTGGATTTACTCTATGATAGCTTTGATCAGAATCTGATCTCTTTTGTTTTCCCGGACAGACCTGGTTATATATTTCACATACAAAATACTGGTCTGTCTCATAGAGAAGGTGTAATTTTTCTCTGACTCCTAGATTGTAGTGTTTTTATCATGTAAAAGCTGTAGAGTTGTATCAGCGTGGACCATATTTGCTATGGATGAATGTTGTTCAACTGAATAACATTGGTTTAAAAAAAAATATTAACAGAGGAAGGAAACAACTGCCAGCATTTTCTGCTCTCTTCATTCTACCAGTCTATTGTGTTGTGCTACTATAGAAAAGCTTAATTTCATGTTGATTCTGCCAAAGAGAATGATGCTATCGAAATTTCTGATACTGTAGCTGGGAGCAGTGTCTTGTGAGATGGCTCAGTCACCTGCTAAAATACCACTTGGTTTTGCCAGATTGATTTGTCATCCCTTACTTCATCTGTTACCTGTGAAATCAGTTCCTTAAAGAAATAGTAATCAGCTTTTCCATTTGGGTGGATAACATAGCCTCTGGTTAGCCTTACAGAAGGGTGGTATGCCATCGCCTCCCCTAGTCGCATAGTTTGACCTGCTGGAAATGCAGAGCTTGGTCAGTTTTTCCTAAGTGTCAGGATTCATGCATGTCCCTTATATACCATTTGCACCCACGCTAATACTAATTCTTCCCCAGTTTGCACCTCAGAAGTGAGGTGATGAGGAATCAGCAGAAAAATCCACCTGGTCCATAATCAGCTTCATTAATCTCTCCTGGAAAGGCAGTGGGTAGGAGCAGGCTGTGTGCCAGATTAACTGTCTTGGAGCAGTTATTTATTTTGTTTGTATTTACATAGAAATAACTGTCTGGAATTTATGTTTTCAAAATAGCGTAAGTACTTATCTAAGTCAGATATTGTTTCTGACTTTTGTTTCACCATCCTGCCTTCAACAGGATGACATAGCAATGGTTTGTGTCAAGTACACATTATTTTACTTTCTCTAGAGGTTAATTGTTTTCCAATATTTTAATGTTCTATGTGTCACTGTTAATGGAAGAAAACCACTGATGGGGTCACCACAGCATACACTGGGTGTTAGTTCTCTTAATTTCTATTTTTACTGTAATTTGTTTTCTTGTTTGTTAGCTAATTTCAGAAATGAAGAGTAACATTTTTGCCATCACATTTCTTAGTACATTTTGTCAAAGATTTATTACACAATGAAGTAAGCAGAATGGTAGCCATATAAAGAAATCACAACGCTATTTCACAGAACATAGCTTACAGATTATTTTCAAGTAAGCACTGCTTATAATAGCTTGGTTAAAAAAATAGAATACCAGGTAGCTCATGGCTTTTGACAAAACTCTTAAGAAGGTCCTTTTAAAAGGCCTCATTATGAGTGATCAAAGTGAAAACCAAGAGTCAGCATGATCCATTTGCTGAGATTTGACAAAATGTCTGATTTAAAAGCAAACCCTTTAGAAGAAAGTAGAGAACCTGCTGTAAGGACGGTTAGCGTTTATTTCATGCTCACTCCCCCCTGATCTGGCTGTGTAGTGAAGGAAGTCTTGAAGTCCTGACTTCATTTACAAAATTACTGCAGCAAGCATGTTATGACATGATAATGCCCCAAGTCATGACAACAGCATTTGTGAGTGCCTGTTCAGATAGGACCTGAACAGTGTTTTAAACAGGTTACTGAACTTCCCCCAACTTGGATTCTTTCTGCAGTAAGAGTAATGTTAAATTAATTGGTTCTAAGACCTCACAGTTTCATCTGTGAAGAAAGGAGTGGATGTGCTAGAGGTTAATGGGGACAACGGAGGAACCACTAATCCTTCCATTTCCATTGCCTGGTTCAATAAATGCTCTGGATTACAAACTGGTAAGAAAGGACAGCTCAAGCCCCCATGGCTATGTGCATCCTGGAAACAGGCAAAATGAAACTACAGTACAGAGAAAGAATGACTAAGGTTGCAACACAACTTGCTGCCAAGGATTCTGCTACTGCAGCTGGGCTATATAACAACAGGTTTTGTATTTTTTTCCTTCATAATTTGACTTTCCCACCTGCCCCTAAAATAAAACTTGGCAACACAGAGAAAGCCAGTTAATTACCTCCTCCCCACTGCTACTCAGTGCTGTTACTGCTGGTGGTGGTTTTGCTCCCATGTTTTCAGAAGATCAGTTGCCAGCTGTGAGATGTGCTGCCAAGCAAACTTGACGTGGGTGGATTCCACTGTGCGGGAACAAATAGCAAAACGTAGCACGAACTTCTCTCGTAGGTGGCACGGGACCAGATGAATCTTCTTGGCCTCATTTATGCTTTTAAGAAGCGCCTTATTTAGTTCATTTGAGCCCTGAAAACATTGTAATTCAACAGATACGATGATGAATGTCAGAAGCAAGTTTGGAATATGTAAATCCCACTAAGCAGTCAAGCCCAAGTACCACCAGTAACACACAGCCACTTTCTTACCTCTCAGTGCTTTGCCATCAAAGGATTACAAGAAGATGATGGCACAAGAGGTAATTTTTCAGCCACAAAGAATGTATGGATTAACTGGCTTTTAAAAGCAGTGTTCACACTGGGGCATTTGTGATAGCTGACTGCTTTTTTTGTGACCTAAGGTTGTGAGCTATGTAGCTTCACGCAAAAGCATTCATTATGGCATCCATTTCATTATAGTTTTGGTAGATCTAATCAAACAAATGTGAGAGGAAGTTTTGCAGTGACCTATACTAACATTTGTAAAACAAACTTTCCAGTCTTCACTTAAGCATGGCTTCTGTGAGAGTCTTTTGAATATGAACATTGAAGTCTTGCCCTTAATTAAGAAATAGTTAAGGTAACATATTCCTGGCATAAATAAATTTCATACTATCAATAGAGACCCTAAAAAAGTATTTGCCTCAAGTTCTATAGGAAATGTCCTACAGAGTGGGGTTTTTGAAGCGGATTTTAGAAATGTGGTAAACTGACCCTCCCACTGGAAGTAGTCTTCTGCATTCTGGGAAACAAAGATATAAATGTTAAATATTTTGCAGAATTTCAGAGGGACTCTGCAACCATGAAGTACTGAATTTTATCATGGAATCATAGAATGGCCTGGGTTGAAAAGGACCATAGTGATCATCTAGTTTCAAACCCCCGCCCGCCATATGCAGGGCCGCCAGTCACTAACCCAGGCTGCTGCGCGGCCCCGCCAGTCACTAACCCAGGCTGCTCAGAGCCACATCCAGCCTGGCCTTGAATGCCTCCAGGGATGGGGCATCCACAGCCTCCCTGGGCAACCTGTTCCAGTGTGCCACCACCCTTTGGGTGAAAAACTTTCTCCTAATCTCTAACCTAAACCTCCCCTGTCTTAGTTTAAAACCATTCCCCCTTGTCCTATCACTATCCACCCTCGTAAACAGGCTCCTGTTTATACGCTCCTTTCAAGTACTGGAAGGCCGCAATGAGGTCTCCCCGGAGCCTTCTCTTCTCCAAGCTAAACAAGCCCAGTTCCCTCAACCTTTCCTCATAGGAGAGGTGCTCCAGCCCTCTGATCATCTTTGTGGCCCTCCTCTGCACCTGCTCCAAGAGCTCCACGTCCTTCCTGTGCTGGGGGCCCCAGGCCTGGACACAGTACTGCAGATGGGGCCTCACAAGAGCCGAGTAGAGGGGCACAATCACCTCCCTCTCCCTGCTGGCCACCCCTTTTTTTAATGCAGCCCAAAACACAGTTGGCTTTGCGGGCTGCAAGCAGGCACTGCTGGCTCATATCCTTGCCTTTAATATGAAAGGCACAGAACTAACTTTCAGGCAATACAAGCGGTTATATGATGATAGTTAATGCCCTTGCCAGGGGTGAGGGGAGGAGGGAGAAAGATTTATGTATCTTTCTTCTGCTCTACTCTTACAGCTGCACCTAGGGGCTGCTGTGACACTCAGGTGTCACATCAAATTGACATTAGTAGTGACTAATCCTCTCCCAGAGCTTTGGGAAGCTAGCTCTGATTGAGTCTTTTAGCTTCAATAAGAGTATTCTCACCCCCTTGGAGAAATTACTAGCTTGACTTGTATTCATCTACAGACATGACAAGGAGGCCAATATTAACCCTTTGGCATGATATATTTGATGAAATAGTTATAATATGAAAGTCATAGATAGTTAATCTGCTCGACAATGTGAAAGGCAAAAAAATAAAAGTTACAGCTAAGCAAAAAAAATAAAAAAGGATTTCTCAAGAAGAAAGGAAGGAAAAATATTTCATACTTTTATAGCTGTGCAGCATTACAGTTCAAGTCCCCTGTCCCTTACTCCTACTGTAACTACATAAAAGTGACAAGTATCCAACTTCTAAGATGCATTTTAATATGAATTACAGAAATCACAGGAAGATTTTTGAAAG